ATCATAGTTTTCTACAGCAGTCACTATCTCTACAAATACAGTATTGCTAAAATGCAGATACCACTTTTTACTAAAGGCAGGGAAAATAAGTGGATGGATGGAATTGCCTGATAATAACTGATTAAAAATCAATAATCATCTCCTTTACTGATACACCCTCTGTCAACTCCTAATTATGCAGTAGTTTCACACTCTTGACTTTGGGAACATAGGGCTCAAAGAATTAAAAAACATGATTATCACTCATCCATCACAGAGTGTCTTTAAAACCAGTCATGATTTTGTTGGGCTTGACTGTTTTACGATGTTTGCGCTATAAATGCTGAGCACAGAAACCTGTTTGGTAAAGAGACAATCTTTTCTCACATTCTGCCATCTTGGTCATGAACATTACAGTTGATCCAACAGTTATTACAAACAATAACATGTATTGTGTGATTTCTTCCTTATTAATTTTCTGTCAGTGCTGCAAATATGAATTATATTGAAGCAATACTAAAAGCGGATAAGTAATTCGTCCTTATGGCCTAAACCAATACAGTAACCAATAAATTCACATTTCCCTTTTAAAAAATAATGATCCTCACTGTTAACACTAGTGTGTTTTACAGAAATTGCTGTGATGAAGATCTAACCAACCCAAAAACATCAGTTCCATCTCAAAGCCTTGCATCATTTGCTGCATGTGTTAAAAAAAGACATAAGAGCTAACCGTATTAACAACAATATCAAATACAATTCAACTGTATCTCAAAGCTCTACATTAAATTACCAAAGACGTAGTGTATTGTTGAAACACACCCACTGCATCTCTTGATTATAGATCCTTGTTGGTTATGGCTCCTTCATACAAACTCAAAACTTCTTAGTGGTGGCATAATTTTGGAATGACTTACTGTATTATATTTGTTGTGTAATCACAAACAGACTATATTATATGTAAGGATAAAATTACTTGGTAGGCAAGGTAGCAGACAGTACTACTGAAGCTACGCTGCGTAAATCACCTGCCAAATACTATCACGGTAGTGTCTAGTAGCAAATTTAGTTACAGTTCTAGCAATCTAGCTACGGTTCTAGCGATTCAAGTTCTCCATATCCGTAGGTAAGAATGCTTACATTATGTTATTTGTTGTCGATGATTAATAGAGAGAAGATGCCACTATGAAGGGCACTAATAATAGCCAGGGTTGGGTCACAAATCTTTAAAGCAACAGTACAGTTTTTTCATCACATCGCAATTATTTCTCGAACAATTGTAAATTCATTTAGAAAAATCTGTAATTGATTACACTAAGAGAAGATGTGAGGTGAACAAAAGATAGAATATAAACATCAGAAATACTGTTGCTTCTAAATAGCAAACAATAACAAAGCCATTGCACAGCTTCCACACAACATCTATGGCATAGCAGCTAGGCATAGCCCATTATAAAGGTGGATGCAGCGTTGATGCCTAAAACACACCAAAGTCTATTTTTGTGTGACTGTCTTGCACTGATAGTCTACAAACAGGGATGTGCTGCTCCATTAGCATGGGTGAAAGTTAATATTAGAACATATTTTGCTTATTTGTTATTTGAAATATATTTCTAATGTGTATTGATTTGTGTATTGATCGTTTTGTAATACAGTACAGGCAAGCCAAGTAAGATTGAGTACAGCTGCAGGATGGGTTGACTGACAGAGATTAGAAATTAGAGAAATACTGTCACATTCTCAGCAATTACTGGGAAATACTGTCATAGTTCTACAATAACTTCATTAACATAATGGTACATCTAGATACATATATATACATATACAGAGTATAGATTGATAGATAGATATACTGTACATTCACCTGCATGTATATATGTATACATATATGTATACTTCCACAATACACACCAATGTAATGTGGAGATGTGACAAAAATGTGAGACAGAGATCTTGTCAACAAACATTTTTATGCCATGCTTTCTCAGTTGCTATCAGCCCATTTCACATTCTTTAACTTCATCTTGCTTTTAACGTCAGGACAAGAGCTGCAGGTAGGTGGGGTACACTATATGATTATTTAAGTGTAGACGAGAATATAGCTATACCTTTGCAGCATATTTCATTATGTATGTCAATCTTGTAGCAATATGTTTTATTAGCTTAACTTACAACATATAGCATGTACACAGTACAAAATTATTAGTAGGCAGCTTTATGAATGTTAGTATTAACTCCAGGGTAAAGTTTGATCATTAAAGTTAATTAAGATTAAGTATGTTTTATGCTTTTAGACTACTTTCCTGTGCCCCTGACAACGACTACATGATCAGGTATACTAGGCCTTAGCGTTAGAGTTAGTCATAGCGACACTCGCTTTACGTTCAAGGTTTTTTTGTTTGTTTGTGTGTTTGTTTTTTTTGTTTGTATTGTAAATGGTAACAATAACTTCATCCAATCATCTAAGCCGCAAAAATGGTGCATCCTGATCTGAATAAAGTAACACAAAAATAACACAAATAACAAAGAATACATAAATGTACAATGGGGTTACTTAAAGCGTGTTTAACACACACACACACACCCATAGGGGATGTGAGTATAAGATGACAATTTGGTTACGTTACTTCTTCTAATTTCATCGCCAGGCTTTATTTTGAATAGAAAGGGGATCGTGTTTAGATATTATTTTCTTTTTTAGACAGAGATTTCATAAGTTAGAAGCCAATGTTACAGTTCCGTGCGTGAAGAGATGCTGTGTCCTACTGCGTGTCAGCCGCATCTGGTAAGGTAACTAAACGTGACTTCGGCGAGTCACAGGGGTTATTTAAAAAGGCTGAAAAAACAATACAACAAAACAAACTTACCCAACGAGAGGTGGATGAAACAGAGGACAAAGACTAGCGCGTTGCCGGTGAAGAAACAGGAGATGTGATCCATATTTTCTGTAAAATCCACATAAGGTCTCCAGCCCAAAGTTGAGCTGTGTGCCCGGCAAGGTTAGCTCTCAAAAGTCTTGCGGAAACTGCTCACCTTTAAAAAAAGTTTTAAACACCTGCAGCGCTAAGTTACAACATCTCGTTGACTTCTTTTACATTAGTTACTGTCCCTCACAGCAACTTTAAGCGGTTAAAAGACGTAAATTAAAGTTATCCTCATAGACCCAGCCGAGTGTTCCACCTCTGTGCGCTCACACTTACTGAGGCCACATAGAGTGAAGACACTTAGGCATGTATCCTTCCGCTGAATTCATCGCGGCTCTATTTACAAGAGGGGCGAGTTTAAAGAATATATATTTTTAAAGTGTCTTTATCGAAATAACTGTGTTTCGACGGTAAATAAAGCATTGCTTTTACTGACACATGTTCATTTCCGCCTAATCATTGAGTAAAAAAGACAGCACCGTTTCTCTTTTGCTCCGGCGGAGGAATTTTTTCTCATTTTTTTCCCCCTTCTCGAAGTTTGGTCTGAGTCAAAATTAACCCGTTCAATCTTATTTTCCTTCCTTCGTAGTGAGTTTTTTTTTTTTTCAGTTAAAGTCTTTAACGCCCACTCTTTTCTGACTCTTTCAAAGGCACCAAATCCACTCTGTTCATACATCCCCCAAGTTAAAACAGCAGTTTTAGTTTGAGAATTTGGTTCGAAGAGGTTGAACTAGATAATTGTCAGACCACAGGCATCACACTCTCTGACGTCTTGTCAACATCTTTGTCGTCACGATGTCATTCTTTATACTAAAGCCTGGAAACAGACATTTAAACAAGTTAACGAGTTTTAGTGAACCTTAATGCGTTGATTATTTCAAAAACATTGCATTTCTAATAAATCATCAATCAAATTTGTTGCTATTTATCATAAGCATATTTATAATTGATTTGTTTTGATTTCCCAGTGGTAGGATTTTTGCAACACAATTGATCCATGTTCAAATAATAATTGAAATAAGTTAAAATAAGTTAGTTGTCTTAGAAAGAGTGGCTCTGGCAAAAAAATGGGATAAAATGAGACAAAAAATATCTTCTCATTAAATTTGCAATTTTGCACTGGGAATTCTTTTTTTTTATCTTCTGGTGCCAAGGATAACATGAAAATATATGTCTCATAAAACCTTTCCTTATACATGGTGATGAAAATTCACACTGGCTTCATAAACATTACTGACAACACTGATCTCAGGCTAATTATCTTATCAGCCTGAATGATCCTGTGTAAAATCACAGGCCCATTACAATAACAAGTCCATGTCTCATCCCAGTGATTTGTTTGTCTTGACACCCTGTTAGAGAAACATTGCGGAGCCCCCCCTGCTGATGTGACCAGCCCTCTGTCCCCTGTTCAACCCTGCTGAAAGACTTGGAACCAGTCTCCTCTGACCCACCAGACCGCCACCGCAGGGGTCCACACTTACTTTGCTTTTGTAGCTTTGGTCAAGGTCAAGCCCTTGGTTTCACTTGTGTGGTTTGATGTCAGGTGCTAGCAGAAAACAACGTTAGCTTGTTCAGATGCTGTATTTATTCACACCTTTACTGTCAGTAAGCCTTGGTGTTCGTATTCAGGACTGTTTAATTTTATTTTATTTTACCACTTCTACAACACTTCATGGTCGGGCCACGGGTCATGTCAGCCAATAGTAAATCAAATCTGAGGACTGCTTTGTTTGCAGCACTTTTCCACTGGTGACGTCACTGCAGATGTGGTGCTTCTATAGTTTGGGAAGAGATGGTGCGAGAGAGGGTGTGGTTCAGTTATGTGAGCAGAAAACACTGATTAGTTCCTCCCTGTCACTGAATGATGAAAGACTTTCTGGTCAAAAAAGGAAGAAAATGACGCATTTAAAAGTTGAACATTACAGTATCTCCACGGCTTTAATCTTCCTTGAACCATTGTGGTATCAAACGTATTAAGCAACCCTGATGTCTAATCTTTTTGTTAAAAAAGGCACTGACACCTTAAGCTCATGAGGAAAAGGAAAGGGAAGTTATTAGATTAGTTCTGTAAAAAAAAAAAAACACGTCCATGAACAATGTTTAAAATTTATATCCTAAGTTAGAGGGTGTAACATGGATTCTTTTCAGGTACGGAATGATAATAGCACTTGGCCTGGATCAAAGCCATCATCCTGGCAGGAGAGCTTCTTTCATCGTCGTTGGAGCTCTTCACGCTGATTTCCAGTTGGTCAGCGAGGGTGTCTCCAGCTGTTGGTCAGTGGATTTATGCTGCAGAGTGTGGTAATCAGGGAGCAGACAGCAACGACTAGTAATGCCTGGGAGATTTAGGCATGTGATTTTGTGGATGACCCATTAGCGTGAGCGTTCTCCCTACCCCCAGCATGATAACCATGAGAAACTCGATCAGTGCCTGTCATTTAAGAACGCCTTGAACGTCAGCCCAGTCTTTACATTATATGTCAGACCAGAGACTCAGTACGAACTTTGTGTACATGATTCCTTTCTATAATTAGTGCTGGCAGGGACTGATTCACTTTTCACTGTGGCAGCTGACTGCTACCTCTAGCAGTTGTATATAACCAAGACATCTTGATCGCTTGTCTTTACTTGTATATATATATATATTTCAATTATTTTAATAACATTTTTGCACCCACAGAGACAAGCTTTAAGGCTTTCCTGGGATCAGGTTTATGTAGAAATACATTGGATACTATTAAAAAACCTGTGTTTTTGATGGGCTCTAAAAATCAGTGTGAATACATAACTCTCATTCACCTTTCTAAAAAAATAGACAGATAGAAGTTATATGTACTTCATATCATTGGAATTTGTCTTCAAGAAGTGAACCTCTATATTGAAGTGTGAAATTTGATGGCGTGTTCTCTGCCCCTGCCTCGTGACTCACTTCCTAACTGAATTCATTAACATTTGGCTCTGCTTTGCTGTTGATGCCCTTCCACTTTCGTTACTGAGAGACGTTAACACAAGAGGATCAATACTGTAGAGACGAGGTTAATTTTTGTCTGTCATGTATAGTGATCAAATTAATTATTCACAACTTTTGTGGTACCTAAGGAGGTTTATAAATCTGTTTCAACATACATTTTGGTATGAATCAGCTTGTTCGAGTTGGCATGGGAAAAGGAAGTGAGTGTGAATTCATTTTTATGCAATCGCCCCCAACATCTCTGCATTTGCTTTCTTTTTAAAAAAACGTCTTTGATCTAAGTCGATGGCAGATTACGAGTGAACTTCCCTTACAGCGAGGAGCTTACCTTAACTGATGGTCTTTCTGTATCTGCTGTCAGTGTATGCACCTGAACTTCAGTTTCCAACCACCACTAAATCTTGCAGATTGGCGATTGGTTGAATTGGACACTCTTCATGAACTAAACATTTAATTATCAGTATGCAGAGTTGTTGAGTTAACTTTCAGATCATAACCAGGCCATCGTCTAATGAGTGCTTGTGTCCTCTGCTACCCTGAAAAGAATTACTGTAAACAGCATAAACCATTAATTAACTTACTAAGTGACATATTTTGGTTGCCATAAAAGTAGACGGCAGCGCATTAAGGTTAGGTGTCGCCCCCACCTTAGTTAAAAACACAGTATAATTTGAGAAAAGGCTTCAGTGGGACAATGACACACAGCTGTGTGGTCTCACTGTTAACAAAAAACGAGCTGTGTATCAATGTAGAGAGGAAACCTGATTAGTGGAGACTCACACAAGAGTCTTTAGAACAAGGTCATAAACATGAGAACCCACATGTTGTCTGACAAACACAGAGGTGATATTCATGCAAGGATTCGGGTTAATCACAGTAAATCATTCCCCTGTGTGAACCTGAAGTTTTATGAGACAAATGTCAACAGTGGGACAGATAATAAGCACAAAATATCCAGAGAGCACACAGATCAGCATTAGATTGATTCAATCATTTACTCAGCCAAACACGGGGGTGGGGGGGGGGATCCTAGGGTCCTCTGGCTTTACTGGCACATAGTTAAATGTAGCAATCTAATGTAGTTTGATTGACTGACTTGATAAAATGCTAAACTTGGTTCTCATTCTACAGCTCACGGACAGTCCACAGAACCAGGGGAAATTCACAGGTTTGTTTCTTAATAATTGCATATATGTAGCAAACTGCAGGAGGACAACTTGCTGCGTGTGTGTTGCCAGATTAAGAAACAGTATGTGCGTGTCTATGTGGGAATGTATTGTGATGTCTGCAGAGACCCCAGTCAAGGGCACTGGAGGTTAAAAGAGAGGTGGAGAAAAATGTAGCGTACGGAAGGTGTGAGGAGGAGGAGGAGGAGGAGGAGGGATGTATAAATGGGAACACATATTGTAAGGTGACCTGGAGCTGTGGAAGGGCCAGGTGCACAGGAATGTGCTGTTGTGTGCAGATTGGATCCTCCCCTGAGTGCCCTCGCCTGCCCACCGTCACCCCACACTAACAGGCTATTTATATTGCGCTGTGGGAAAATAAGAGCCCGTGGAAAGTCATCTTGGTTCTTCAAGGCTTATAATTCCCTACCCACAGAGACAAACACACACACACACACACACACACAGACGGAAGCAGACACACAAATCAACATCAAAAGGCCTCGAATAACATCCATGGTCATAAACAACTTAGTATGTCTGTGACTTATAAAGTGCATTATAAATCTCAGCCACTGACATTATTAATGCTGGTGACTCAGAAAATAGGATTCTGTCAACCTCACAATACTGTCACGGTGAGCCATCGACCTGGCAGGAAGCAGGCAGGACCCAAATGCAGGACTGGTGCAGGTAGTTTATTTCAAAGATCAAAATTCCAAAAACCAGGACAGAAGCATACACAGAGCCAAGCAGAGCTGAGAACAGCGACAGACTTGACCAGGAACAGACTAGGAACAGCTACAACATAATGCTCAACACAACGCTGGCACAGACAACACAGCGCACACAAAGACAGCACAATGACCCCACAAGGCCAGAGTGAGGGAGAGCACCAGGTGACACAAGTGAGGCTAATTGCAGACACAGGTGAATGTGATCACACAGATTACCCCACACAGACCTGACAAATACAGAGTTTGTTCAGAGGAACTGGTCTGTACCTGTGCACATGACCAACAGACAGATGTTAGAATAGTTTGAAAGGGTTTGATACAAACGTAAAACCAACCAACAAACATGCAGTTACACACAGAGGACAGTCATGGATCCAGAACTATCATTTGCGGAGAGCAAAAGTCCTCAGTTGTCTAAATCTGTGTTTCTGGGACAGGACTCTCGGAGCTGCAGGAGGAAAATGAGTTACTCTGTGAACCCAACCGCCTTATGATTTGACTTAAAAATCAGTGCTTCCACCCCAAAGAGGTGGTTTGTATTTTCCATTATAGTCCTCAGCCTGTAATTCAATGAGGAAGTCGAAGATGGTTTCCTGAGTCTTAATTTACTAAATTATTGTCTCCTTCACTGCGGAAATGAGTCAAATGAATGCAGACAGGCATCTTTTAAC